CTGCAGGGGACCTGAGGGGGGCGGGCCCGGCGAGGGCCGGGGAGGGGGGCGGGGGGCTTGGCTGCGCTCAGCCCTGCAGTGCGGAGGTGGCAACAGGTTCCCATTTGTCCTGTTGCTGGCGCTGCGGGCGCTGCATTGACTTTGGAGCTTGCCTCCGCCGCGCCGCGCTGCCCTGACTGGAGAAGGGTTTCCCCGGGCTGGAGAGCTTGGCGGCCGGGGTGTGAGCGAGGCGCTGGGGGTGACTCTTGAGGTGTGAGGAAACGGGGAGGTTGTCTCCCTCTCGCCCGCTTCAACTGCCCTCACCTCCTCCAGGGAGCCCTCTCCCGAGAGCCCGCTCGGGCAAGTCAGATTCTCCCGTGTCTGCGCTGGGTGGCCGGAGCTCCCTCCAGCCACACTGACCTCCCACGACTGGCGTGTGTGGGCTGGGCGGTGCGTGTCTCTCCAGCTCCCTGCTGGCCTCCCTGCCACCCAGTAGTGCTGTAGTGGGTCCGGAGACAGCCCCAGGCCGGGTGCCTGTGGCCAGGCGGCAGCTAGGGTGTGAGGGACTGAGGTAAAAGATGGTCCCTGGCCTGGGAGCACACTGAGAAGGGGGCGGGGTGGGCAGTGGAGCACGGAGGAGGCCTGGGGGCGTCCTAGGGGCAGGGGCATGATGGAAGGTGGCCAGCGATGAGCCCAGGGCCGCTAGCAGAGGGTGAGGGAGGGGGCAAACTGAAGGCCCCTTAGAGGTGACCTGCTTTGTGGAACCTACTTTCTTCCCCTCAGCATTACCTCATGCATTTTCTCATCTCCCTCGCATGGTTCACGAGCCAACTGTTTGCAACATACAGGTGGACTGCGCCTCGCTGGAAGTGTGTGCTTCGCGTTGCTCCCTTCTTAGGGAAATGGCTTGTGGCGCCCTCACCGTGTGCATAGCTCGGCTTTCCTGTGCTTCAGTTCCTTAGGGCGGAACCCTCACAGGTAGCTCTCACTGCACGCTGCCAGCTGAACTCCCCAAAGGTTGACTTCCAAACGGACCACACCGCTAGAAAAGTGGCCAGCGAGAGGGCGCAGCATGGTGATTTCCCAGCAACCTTGTGCCTCGTCCTTTTGAGTGCTCTTTCTTCCACGCCTGAGGGTGAGCCCCCTCCCAGGATGTTTTTTGCCCCGTGGCATTCCACCTTAGTGCAGCGTGGAGCCTTTTCCCCACGTGTTCTCAGGGTCTTGACCTTTTGGTCGGTTTGTAGAGCTTTATCTTATCTGTTGTGCGTCTTCCTTCACCACTGGTATCTGTTTTCGTTGGGCTTCGGGCAGAGAAAGGACACACAGGCAGAGGGGCTTTTCCATTGTCTCAGCGCTCAGCACGTCTCCCATCGGAGATGTCGTTCAGTGGCCCTGCTTATGCTGGGTCTGTGCTGCGGCACACTGGGAGTGCCCTGTGCCCCGGGGAAGGATGGGGGGCCCCGGCCCGGGCTAAATGGTGTTCTGGCACACGGTGGGGCAGAGAGCAGGTTCGTGAACAGAGGCCCGGAGGCAGGGAGACTTTGGGAAGCTGTCACAGTGACCTGGCCAAGAGTTGGTGAACGCGAGTGCATGCCAGTGCAGGACACAGGAGATCATGGATGTGAGAGAGATTTTCATAGAAACTGCCTCTTTCCAGATTGATCAGTCTGGGGGTGGCGGTGGGGCTGGGGGTGGGGAGGGGTGGGGGAGCTTTGAGTTTGAAGCAGAGGGAGGAGCTGGGGTGGCTGCTAGGGTCAGTGTGTGGAGGAGCAGAGTCCCCCAGAGTGCTGACACCCTGGAGCTGCTCCTGGCAGCTTTCAGCCAGGTGCGTGTGAATGAAGCTTCCAGTGACATCCCGTGCTGCTCCAAGGTGCTGGCTCTAATGAGCCCATTATACAGATCGGGCCACTGACGTCCATGCAGGGGCTGTGATGGTCCGGAGTCACCACTAGCTGGGTTAGAGGCAGCCTCTGGGCAGGGGCGCTGGGCTTTTGTCCTCACCCCCTCCCCCTGCCTCCAGGGACCAAGCTGGCGCCGGCCAGGGGAACTACAACTACTCCCCTACTGGGCCCCTGACCTGCCCTTGGCCTCTGCCCCGACCCTATCCCGCCTGAGTGGAAGGCTCAGCTCAGCCTGCCACTCGCGGGTCCCACCCGACTGATTTCGCTTACTTCGATTGGCTTGCTGGCCCCCCTAAGCCCGCCCCCGCCGCCCCGCCCCGCCCCGGCCCGCCCCTCTGAGCGGCTACTCCACGTCCGAAGGCAGCGGCTTCTAAGGTGGAAGCTCAGTCTTGCTGCCAGGAAGCGGCCGGCGCGCGAGCAGCGCGAGGCTGAACTTCCACGTGCGAGCCGCTCCACCGCCCCGCCTCCTGCCGGCGCCGGGCCTGGGGACTCCCCGGCCAGGGACGGCACCCGCGCCCCGCGGTGGCAGTGCTCTGGCTGGGACGTCCGTGCGCGGCCGCCTGCCGCGGGATCGCTCTCCAGGTCTCTCTCCTTTTGTTCTCTGCTGAGGGTGTGGGGGGCCCGGGCCAGGTCAACCCCGAGGGGGCTCGCGGAGGCTCCTCACCCGGTGGCACTTCTGTTCCCTGGTAGTGGGGTGGGGGGACCTTGACCCGCACCCCTTCGTAGGCACACAGCCCTAAAGTCGGAAGCTGGAACTTGAGGAGTGACCACCCCCCCACCCCCGGCCCAGCTCCCGGGCAGGCTGAGCGAGAGACGCGGAAAGTAGGTGTGAAGGGAGGTGCCTGTGGCCTCCCAGCGAGTGCCCCGAGGGCACCGTCAGACGCCCAGCCATCTCCTGGGTGCGGGGGCGGCGGGGGGTGGGGGAGGTGTGGCACCTCTCACACTGTGGGAGCGGTGAGCAACTGCGGGGTGACCCTGAGGGACGGTGGGCGCCCGCCCCGGGCTTGGCTTCCCATCTCGACGCCCCCGGCCCGCGCACCGGGAGCGCAGACAGGCACTCATGCCACGCGTCTTCCCTCTATGCAGCGCCCCCGGACCGACGTGCAAGAAGCCTCAGGGCCATGGAGGGCCTAGGCCGCTCGTGCCTTTGGCTGCGCCAGGAGCTGGCGCCCCCGCGCCCGCGCCTGCTGCTCCTGGACTGCCGCAGCCGCGAGCTCTACGAGTCGGCTCGCATCGGCGGGGCGCTGAGCGTGGCCCTGCCCGCGCTGCTGCTGCGCCGCCTGCGGAGGGGGAGCCTGTCGGTGCGCGCGCTGCTGCCCGGGCCGCCGCTGCAGCCGCCTCCGCCAGCCCCGGTGCTGCTGTACGACCAGAGCGGGGGCCGGCGCCGGCGCGGGGAGGCCGACGGCGAGGCCGAGGAGTGGGAAGCCGACTCGGTGCTGGGCACCCTGCTGCAGAAGCTGCGGGAGGAAGGCTACCTGGCCTACTACCTACAGGGTAGGTGCCGGACAAGAGGCGCCAGGCACTGGCCTGGGGGAAGGGGGACGAGGGGGGGGGGGACTGGGCCCGGGGAAGACCCTGCCTTCCCGGGGGATTCATAATTAATTTGACCTTGGCCAAGCCTCACCTGACAACCTGCCAGGCTGCTTTTGGGGGAGGGGAGCGGGAGCCTGACTTTGGGCAAGTCCCTTCACCCTTGGAAGCCCCGGGTTTTCTGAGTCTGCGCAATTGATGCTTAAGCACAAAGTTCCTGGGGCAGGACAGAGCAGGGGCAGCCTCGGGCTGGGAAAGGGGGAGAGCATCGGTAAAGGCAGCAGGAGCAGGCTGGTCAGGGAAGGTGGCTGGGCTGTGTGAGGGACGTGTAAATAGAAGAAGTGTCAGGTTTCCAGTCCCCCCCCCCAGCCAGGGCCTGGGAGGGAACCGCGTTATCGGTAGATGCAGCGGATGCTGGCTCCTTGGGCGGGGGAACGCTAGATTCTCTTCCGAGCGCCCCCCCCAGCCCCCTGCATCTCTCAGGCAGGGAACTGACACTGAAACCTTTCCTCTTTGCTGCTCGCTGCTTGCAAGTCCATCCGGGACTCCCACGGGGGTGGCAGGGACCCAAGCACTGAGCTGTCACCCGCTGCTGCCTCCCGGGGTGTGCGCTCTGCAGGAAGCTGCCAACACAAGGACTGGCCCCCAGGCACTGTGTCCAAGATGCGAAGCAGGCATCTTACGCACCCCGCCCCAGCTGCTGGCCTTTGCATTCCCCTTGGGGACACCTGCAAAGGGACAGCTTCCGAGGCGCTCCGCTTCTCTCCCCACAGGTGGCTTCAGCAGGTTTCAGGCTGAGTGTCCTCACCTGTGTGAGAGCAGCCTCAATGGCCACGCGGGCTCAAGCGTAGCCTCCGTGCCCGGCCCGGTGCCCGTGGTGGGGCTGGGCAGCCTGTGCCTGACCTCCGACTGCTCCGATGGGGAATCCGAGGCTGACCGCGACACCATGACCTGTGGCCTGGATTCGGAGGGCGCCACGCCCCCTCCCATGGGGTTGCTGCCATCCGTTCCCGTGCAGATCCTGCCCAACCTCTACCTGGGCACCGCCCGCGACTCGGCCAACTTGGAGAGCCTGGCCAAGCTGGGCATCCGCTACATCCTCAACGTCACCCCCAACCTCCCGAACCTGTTCGAGAAGAATGGGGACTTTCACTACAAGCAGATCCCCATCTCTGACCACTGGAGCCAGAACTTGTCCCAGTTCTTCCCGGAGGCCATTGCGTTCATTGGTGAGTGGGCCCTGCTCTCCCGATTCGAGCTTCGTGCCCCGCAGGCCTGCTCCCGGCCTGGCCCGCTTCTTCCCCGCCTCTGGCACGTGAACTCCTTCCAGGGGGTGGGCAGAGCCCGGAGCAGCTCCAGAGGCTGCCGGCGAACCCTCCAGGACCCTTGAGGCCTGGTAGGCCTCCCTGGCTCTGAGGACAGAGGGAGCGACTGTGGGGCTTCCCCCACCCCCAGCCATGAAGCCCGTGCCCCACTCACCTGTCATCGTTGTGTCCCCGCCCCTGCCGCACCTAGATGAGGCCTTGTCCCAGAACTGCGGCGTGCTGGTTCACTGCTTGGCGGGGGTCAGCCGCTCCGTCACTGTCACCGTAGCATACCTCATGCAGAAGCTCCACCTCTCGCTCAACGACGCCTACGACCTGGTCAAGAGGAAGAAGTCCAACATCTCGCCCAACTTCAACTTCATGGGCCAGCTGCTGGACTTCGAGCGCAGCCTGCGGCTGGAGGAGAGGCGCGCCCAGCAGGCGGGCAGCGGGGGGCACGAGTCCGCCGCCTCCGACCCGCCCTCCTTCTTCACCACGCCCACCAGCGACGGGGTCTTTGAGCTGGACCCCACATAAGGCCCTGCGGTGCTGCCGGGCTGGTCCCCACCCTGGCCCCCAGCGGGTGCCCTGACCACTCATGTGCTGGGGGGAGGGCGAGAGGGGACTCAGCAGGGGGGGGACTGGGGAGGGTTGGGGAGGGAAGCGCTATACCTCACGCGGGTGGGGGGGGGACAGTGAAGAGAGGCGGGAGCGCAGCGGAGCGCTGTCCTGCCCGCGTGCGGCGACCGTGGGGACCCTGTGAAATGTGCCTATGGGCCGGCCCCGGAGCCACCGGCCCGCCCCGCGCCGCTCTCAGTGGGACCACGCACCGCAGCCTGCCTCTCCCGCGACTGTTACTTTATTCTTTGGGGGGTGGGGGTGGGGTTCCCTGTCCGAGAGATTATTGCACACACGGCTGCCTGTTCCCTGGGCCCAGTCCCTAGGTGCTCAATCAGCTGAGCTGGGCCCTGGGCCTCCCGCCACTTCCCCCCTTCAGGAAGAGCGGGTGCCACCTTGTTTGCCAAGGGACCTGCTCCCAGGCCCGTCCCTGTCCCCGGATGGCCGTGTGTGTGCACGTGTGTGTGTGCGTGTGCACACACGCGTGTGGGCGGGAGCTGTTCACTCTGTAATCACCTCCCTGTTCTGTGAGGACATGGGGCTGGGACAGCGCCGCGCGGGGGGCGGGGGGAGGCGCAGGCCCGGGAGCCACTGGGCGGGTTCCTGGCCGCACATCTGGCACCCTGACTGGTTTTTTCTCTTCCCCCACATGTCTTGACAGCATCACTGGGGCTCTTTGTGACTCAGGGTGGTCAAATGCCACTGCAGGAGATGGGGTCTCCGGCAAGGGCTGGGGGGAGGGAAAGGAAGAAGAAGGCCTCAGTTTTGCCGCTGTCGGGTTGGGGGGCAGGGGAGGGGCCGGGCTGCAGACACACACACTCATTCATGGCAGTCCACACCCCTTGTGGGCGGCAGGCATGCGCGCGCGCCCGTGTGTGCGTGTGCGTGTCTCCACTCACACCCGCACGCTAGCCCGCTTACACACGCACTGCCATCTCGCCCTTGAACCTGGAGGCCAGGCTATGCTTGCTGCGTTTTGTAATCCACGTCACAGTTGCTTTCTTTAATTGTTCTTCCTGAATAAATGGTTTATTTAAGATACTGAGCAGAAGGAAGCTACTTGCTGAGCCCCCCCTCCCCGCCCTGGGCACAGGAGGGTGCTGGGCTGGCAAGGGGACTCCGGGACTACCCACTCCCACCTGTGTCAGTGCTCTGCTGGCCCAGCCCGACACAGTCCTCGGGCCAGGGCTTGTTAGCGCACCTACTCTGCGCTGCACACTGCTGGGATGAGGACACAGAAGGGCACAGAGAGCAGCATGGCCAATGAGGAAGTCACACGCTAGGTGACAGTGCCGGGGAGGGAGTAGCAGCTGCGGTTTGGTACCTGATCCCCAAGACACTGGGTGGGATCAGAGCTGCATCCTGCCTTGGACAACCCAGGCCAGGAGCAGGGGGCTGCACCAGGACACAGCAGGGCAGAGGGTAGGAGGGGTGGGCGTGGCGGCCTCACAGCCAATGTGGGCGTGCGTGCAAGGCCTAAATGCAGGACACAGCTAAGCGTGCGCCACTGAATGGCTGAGCTGGCAGGAAAGTTAAAGAGAGGCTCAGAGGTCAGGGACGGGGCGGAGCTGTTGGGTCGGCTGGCCTCGGAGCTGTCCCCGGTATGAGGTGGGGGTCACCTGAACCCCACTAACGGAAGCTGGGACAATGTGTGACCTCGGATTGGATGGAGTGCCATCAAGAGCATACAGTTCAGAATTTCTCTCTTGGAGGGACACCCAGATTTTACTTAGATTGTGACCGCCCAATAAAAATAGCAAAGCTTAAAGCGCTCACATAATAAAGTCGTTAGAAGTCATAAAGGACCTAGTTTTGCCCCAGACTGCCTGGCAGAAGCCCAAATCCTCTGTAAAGAGACATCCTTTAAACACAAGCCTCAAAGGATTCCTACAGAGAATTTCAAAAGAGATAATGAAGAAAATCATGAAATGTACAAGCAAACAAGCCACCTGAGGGAGAGAGACGTACAAACATATACATCTCAAAATCAACCTGCAAAGATAGCACATTGTGAACACGTGATATGGGGCCAGTGCTGTAGCCTAGTGGGTAAAGCCACCTCCTGTGACACCAGAATCCCACATGGGCACTGGTTTGAGTCCCAGCTGCTCCACTTCCGATCCAGCTCACTGCTAATGGCCTGGAAAAGCAGAAGACGGCCCAAGTGTTTAGGTTCCAGACACCTGGAGGAAACTCCTGCTTCCTGGCTCCTGGCTTCAGTCAGGCCCAGCCCTGGCCATTGCAGCCATCTGGGGGAGTGAACCTACAGATGGAAGACCTCTCTCTTTGTCTCCCCCCCTCCCCGCCTCTCTCTCTCTCTTTCTATATAGATATAGATAGATAGATAGATAGATAGATAGATAAAACTATGCCTTTGAAATAAATAAATCTTTTTTTATTTACATGATAAATATATAAAATAAGTATGAATAACACAGTTAAAGAAAAGTAAAAGATATATTAAAATGTTAGAAGAGAAAAAGAGGCTATCAAACAACTAGGCATTCTTGATCATGGACCACATATGACTTTTAGAAAACAAAAATAGACCAATTAAAATAATTTCAAGATGTGGCTTAAACAGGGTATTAAACACAGCTGAAGAGAGAAATAGTGAACAGGAAGGTAGTGTTAAAGAACTTACACAGAAAGCAGGAGAGAGAGAGAGAGAGAGAGATCATATAAATATGTACTTGGATTTTTAGAAGAAGAAATTATGGAAGGGGCACCACCTTATGCATGAAAGACAATGAGAGAACTGGAGTCTTGCTGGGGGTTGAATGTGGTTTGTTCTTTCAAAACTCGCTCTGGACTTTCATCCCCATGTGAGCTATTAAGAGGGTAGAAAGTTACTCCGTGGTGTTTTGAGGTGGGGGCTCAGACTGGCTTCACAAGAGGGACAGAGACCAGGATACACACAGGTCCCTTGCCATGTGATGTCCTGGGCTACCTCTGCACCCTGCCAGCAAGAAAGCCAAGTGCACATGTGGCCCTGACCTCCGCACCAGCACCGTGTGCCCACTTGCACCACTTTGCTTCCTGAGTGACCCTGTTCCCGCTGCCGCCTCTCTCTCCCCCAGTCCGGGCACCATGTCCTAGGCAAAAGGAGCCACTGTGCTCAGGCCTTCGGTGAGGGTGGGGGAGGGGGCGCGGCCAGGCTCCAACAAGTGCTTCCCCCCCACCCCGAAGTGGGGCAGGAGGGGCAGAGCATGGCGTCTCCCTTTCCTGTGTGGGGCGGGGAGGGGGGAGGGGCTGGGACCCGGATGAAGCTCCTGGCTCCTGGCTCCTGGCTCCTGGCTCCAGGCTGTTGTGGGGGCATTTGGGGAGTGAACCAGCGAATGTAAGATCTGCGTGTGTGTGTGTGTGTGTGTGTGTGTGTGTTTAACTCTGCCTTTCAAATAAATAAATATGTTGTTAAAAAAATTACTTTCATTTAAAGACAAGATGGGCGATCTGTCTCGAAGCGCTCCATTGCAAAGGTAGAACAAAACAAGCGCCAAACGGCACGGCTTCCGGCTGTGGGCACATGAGGACCTTGGCAAACGTTCTCCCCCAAGAAGGCAGCAGTTCAGCTGCACAAAACTGACCCAAACCATCTTTGTTGACGTGAAAATCAGCCTTGGCTTGAAGCAGCCCACTCACTCTGCAGCGATGGGCAATACCCGTCGCCAGACGCGTGGCGGCGGCAGCGAGGCAGCCGGGCACCGAGGGTCGACCGCCCTGGACTCACACTCACAGCGCCTGCTGGGGCAGTGGTCCAGGCAAGAGCGAGAGCGCCCCCGCCACACACAGAGCCATAAGCGGAAGACACAGAGGCCGCTCCAAAGAAGCCAGCCTCAGCATTTGAAACAGCAACTGCTGCGGAACAGGTGCCACGCGGGAAATAAAATCACGCCACGCACACCAACAGCGTTTCAACAGCAATCCCAGATCACGAGACCGGCAGAGAAACAGCGCGAGGCGATGGACGCTCGGGAAAACAGCGGCTGGGGATTGTGCTCAGTGTTCCCAGATGCGGAACGTGATGAAATGTTCAGGAGCAAGTCCAGGATGCCAGAAGAAACTTTGAGGGCCGGCGCTGTGTCGTAGCGGGTAAAGCTGCCGCCTGCAGTGCGGCATCCTATATGGGCGCCGGTTCGAGTCCTGGCTGCTCCACTTCTGATCCAGCTCCCTGCTATGGCCTGGGGAAGCAGTAGAAGATGCCCCAAGTGCTTGGGTCCCTGCACCCACGTGGGAGATCCAGAAGTAGCTCCTGGCTCCTGGCTTCAACCTGGCCCAGCCCTGGCCATTGTGGTCATTTGGAGAGTAAACCAGTGGATGGAAGATTCTCTCTCTGTAACTCTGATTTTCAAATAAATAAAATAAATTGTTGAGCAAGCGAGCAAATGAGAGAGAAAAGAATGGTGACAAATTGTAGCACAGTCTATTTTACCAAAATTAAGTAAACGTGAATCTGAGTGGGCTGTGACGAGTCAAGATTCATGTTGTGATTGCTAAAGAAACCTCTCAGAAAATAACTCCAAAATACACAGGGGAAATAGAACAACACACTAACAAGAAAGAAAGAAGGGAAGAGGTGCGAAGCACTGGGTCCAGGGGTTCCTTATCAGAGTGCCTCCTTACAGTCCTGGCTACTCCACTTCCAGTCCAGATTCCTGCTTATTCGCACCCTGGCAGGCAGCAGGCGATGGCTCCAGCACTTGGATCCCTGCCACCCACGTGTGAGCCCCAGAAGGAGTTCCTGGCTCCTGGCTTTGGCCTGGCCACGCACTGGTTGTTGTGGGCATTTGGGAAGTGAATCAGTGGGGGGAAAAATCTCTGTCTCTCTGCCTTTCAAATATAATGAAAATCAATTAATCAATTTTTTAAAGTGAGAATAAAAAAGACAGGAGACATACAGAAAACAACTAGCAAAATGGCAAATGTAAATCCAGTCGTACACATCATGACTTTAACCTGCTCTCTGCAGCACCTGCACCCCATATGGGCGCTGATGTAACTCCAGGCTGCTCCACTTCCAATCCAGCTCTCTGCTGTGGCCTGGGAAAGCAGTAGAAGATGGCCCAAGTGCTTGGGCCCCTGCACCCACGTGGGAGACCTGGATGGAGTTCCAGGCTTCTGGCTTCAGCTCAGCCCAGCCCAGCCGGGGCCACTGCAACCATCTGGGGAGTGAACCAGCCAATGAAAGAGCTCTCTCTTACTGTGTAACTCTGCCCTTTAAACAAGTAAATCTTTTTTAAAAATGTGAATGGTTTAAAACCCCAATCAAAAACCAGAGATTAAAAAAAGCGACATTTAAGTAGCCATACATTCTTTATAAGAGACATTTGACTAACCATACATTCTTTACTAGAGACAAATTATAGATGCAAATAGGTCGAAAGTAAAGACAGAAAAAGGGAGACCAGAGCTGTTGGCATAGTGGGTTAAGCTGCTGTCTGCGGTACCAGCATCCTATGCATATGGGCGCTGGTTTCATGTCCCGGCTGCTCCACTTCCAATCCAGCTCTCTGCTATGCCCTGGGAAGTCAGTAGAGGATGGCCCAAGTCCTTGGGCCCCTGCACCCACGTGGGAGACCCAGAAGAAGCTCCTGGCTCCTGGCTTCTGCCTGGCCCAGCCCTGGCCATTGCAGCCATTTGGGGAGTGAACCAGTGGATGGAAGACCCCTTTCTCTGTCTATCTGTAACTCTGCCTTTCAAATAAATTTTAAAAAATCTTGAGAGAGAAAGCTATACCATGCAAACAGGAAGTAACAGTGGGCTGGAGTGCCTATAATAATGTCAAATAAAATAGACTCTACGATAAAAATATTATTAGAAAAAGGGAATGTTTCCTAATGATAAAAGGCTCAACTCATCAGGAAGACATGACAATTATCAACATACATACATCTAACGGCACAGCCCCAAAACATATGAAACCAAAACTGACAACACTGAGCGGATAAAGAGAAAACTCAACTACAACAGTTGGAGATTTTGATGCCCTACTTTCTTTCATTTTTTAAGTTTTTTCTTTATTTATTTGAAAGACAGAGTTACAGAAAGAGGTAGAGCCAGAGAGAGAGGTCTTGCATCTGCTGGTTCACTCCCCAGATGGCCACAACAGCCAGAGCTGTGCCCACCCGGAGCCAGGAGCCGGGAGCTTCTTCCTGATCTCCCATTCAGGACTGGGCTCCAAGCACTTGAGCCATCTCCCACTGCTTTCCCAGGCCACAGCAGGGAGCTGGATCAGAAGTGGAGAAGCCGGGACTAGAACCAGTGCCCATATGGGTGTCGACACTGCAGGCGGCAGCTTTACCCGCTATGCCACAGCGCTGGCCCATCCCCACTTTCCATAACTGGTAGATCTAGACAGAACATCAGCAAGGATATAGAAAATCTGAACATCGTGAATGAATTTGATACCGGTAGAGCACACCACTCCACAAAGGCAGAATACACATTATTTTCAAATGCATATAGAACATTCTCCAGGATAGACCATAGCCTAGTTCATAAAACATGTTTAAAGATTTTATTTATTTATTTAAGAGGTAGAATTACAGAGAGAAACAGAGAGAAAGATCTTCCATCCGCTGGTTCACTCCCCAGATGGGCTCAATGGCTGGAGCTGCGCTGATCCGAAGCCAGGAGCCAGGAGCTTCCTCTGGGTCTCCCACGTGGGTGCAGGGGCCCATGCACTTGGGCCATCTTCTACAGCTTTCCCAGCCACAGCAGAGAGTTGGATCCTAAGTGGAGCAGCCGGGACTCGAACCAGCCCCCACGTGGGATGCTGGTGCTGCAGGTGGGGGCTTAGCTTACTATGCCACAGCACCAGCCCCGTCATAAAACATTTAACAGGACTTAAATGATCCAAAATACATTCTCTGATCACAACAGAATTAAGCTAGCAATCCAAAAAGTTAGGAAATCCAAAAAATCCTGAAATTAAACAACACACTACTGAATAACACACAGTACAAAGAAACTTGACGCCAACAATTGGGCAATTCAGAGGAAATGGACAAGTTTCTAGAAACACACGTGACCAAAACCAATCTTAATCAATAAAAATGTAATATAAAAATAGAAAATCTAGATAAATTTGTAACAAGCAAATCAATTTAATTAGTTATTAGAAGTCTTCCCACCAAGAAAATCCAAGCCTAGATAATCCAAGAAACAACACTAATCCCTCAGCAACGCTTTCGTAAAACAGAGGTGTAATAGCACTTCCCATTGTCTTTTAAAGATCTATTTATTTATTTATTTGAAAGTTAGAGTTATGGGGAGGATGGGGGCTGGTGGAGAGATATCGTCCATCTACTGGTTCACTCCTCAGATGGCCAGAATGGCCAGGGCTGAACCAGGAGCCAGGAGCTTCCTCCAGGTCTCCCACGTTGGGGCAGGGGCCCAAGTTGCTGGGTCATCTTCCGCTGCCTTCCCAGGCCATAGCAGGGAGCTGGTCATCTGATTAGATATACAAGTGGAATTTTAAAATTTTTATTATTTATTTCTTGGGGAGACAGCTAAACAGAGAGAGAATGGCCCTAGGCAGGACAAGAGACAGAAGGCAGAACCAAAGCCAGGAACTGGAAATTCAACCCCGGCCCCCAACGTGAGTGGCATGGACCCAGCAGTGGCATCCCTGCTGCCTCTCAGAGCGCACTTTAGCAGGAAGCCGGGATCAGGAGCCTGAGCTGCTGTTAGAACCCGGGCACCCAAACACGGAATATTCCATATTCCATATGCACACCCTGGGAGGCAGCAGGAGACGGCTCAGAAACTCGGGCTCTGTTCCCCAGGTGGAAGACCTGGATTGGGTTCTCAGCTCCTGGACATTCACAGAGGGAAAAACTTCCAAATTTTAGGAGCGAGTGTTTGGCACAGCAGCTGAGTCCACTCGGGACACCCACATCCCACACTGAAGTGCCTGGGTTGAATGAAGTCCACACTGCACTCCGGAATCCAGCTTTCTGCGGATGCACACCCTGGGAGGCTGTGGTGATAACTCAAGTAATTGGGTTCCTACCACCAACGTGGGGGACTTGGATTGAGTTCCAGGGTCCTGGCTGTACCCCGGCCCAGCCCAGGATATTGGGGCCTGGGGACGGTGCACTAGCAGACAGAAGCTCTCTCTGTCTCTGCCTGTCTATATGACTTTCAAATAAATAAATAAAAATCAAAAGGGGATTATAGTTGCTGTTACTATCAGACAAAGCATGGGGCCGGCACTGTGGCGCACCAGGTTAAGCCAGTGCCTGCAACGCCAGCATCCTGTACGGTGCTGGTTGGTGTCCCAGCTGCTGCACTTTTTTTTTTTTTTTTTTGACAGGCAGAGTGGACAGTGAGAGAGAGAGACAGAGAGAAAGGTCCTCCTCTGCCGCTGGTTCACCCTCCAATGGCCGCCGCGGCTGCTGCACTGCGCCGATCCGATCCGATGGCAGGAGCCAGGAGCCAGGCGCCCCTCCCGGTCTCCCATGGGGTGCAGGGCCCAAGCACCCGGGCCATCCTCCACTGCACTCCCTGGCCACAGCAGAGAGCTGGCCCGGAAGAGGGGCAACCAGGACAAAATCCGGCGCCCCAACCGGGACTAGAACCCGGTGTGCCGGCGCCGCCAGGCGGAGGATTAGCCTAGTGAGCCGCGGCGCCGGCCTGCTGCACTTCTGATCCAGTTCCCGACTAGTGCACTTGGGAAAGCAGTGGAAGATGACCCCAGTCCCTGGGCCCCTGCACCCATGCGGGAGGCCTGCATGAAGCTCCTGGCTCCTGGCTTTGGCCTGGCCCTGCCCTGGACATTGCCACCACTTGGAGAGTGAACTAGGAGATGGAAGATCTCTCTCTCTCTCTCATCTCTCCCTGTAACTCTGCCTTTCAAATAAATAAAATGAATGTTTAAAAAAAATATCAGGAGGCCGGCACTGTGGCGTACCAGGTAAAGCTGCCACCTGCAGTGCCAGCATCCCATATGGGTGCTGGTTCGAGTCCCTGCTGCTCCATTTCTGACCCAGCTCTCTGCTGTGGCCTGGAAAAGCAGAAGATGGTCCAAGTGGTTGGGGCCCTGCATCCACGTGGGAGACCCGGAGGAAGCTGCTGGCTCCTGGCTTCGGATCGGTGCAGCTCCGGCCAGTGCACCCAATTGGGGAGTGAACCATCAGATGGAAGACCTCTCTCTCTCTCTGCCTCTCCTCTCCTCTCTCTGCCTATGCCTCTCTGTAACTCTTTCAAATAAATAAATTAATTAAAAAAAAAAAAAGAACTACAAGGAGAAATGTGTAGTTCCTTGGCCAAACACAGTTGGGACTCTTCAGAGGGCATCGCATAAGGCCCCACAGGCAGGTGGTTTGTATATTTATCAAGAGGTGACAAGGGGTCGGCGCTGTGGCGCAGCTGGTTAACGCTCTGGCCTGAAGCTCCGGCATCCCATATGGGCGTCGGTTTGAGTCCCAGCTGCTCCACTTCCAATCCAGCTCTCTGCTGTGGCCTGGGAAAGCAGTAGAAGATGGCCCAAGTCCTTGGACCCCTGCACCCACGTGGGAGACCTGGAGGAAGCTCCTGGTTCCTGGCTTTGGATCGGCGTAGCTCCAGCCATGTGGCCAATTGGGCAGTGAACCAGCGGATGGAAGACCTCTCTCTCTCTCTCTCTCTGCCTCTCCTCTCTCTGTGTAACTCTGACTTTCAAATAAATAGAGAAATCTTAAAAGAAAAAAAAAAAAAAGAGGCGACAGATACAGCGAAAATCAGATCGTGTCCTGCACAGAAGCGCTTCCATGCCATTGGGAGACAGCTCACGTCCAAGCTGGTCTCTCCGAGCTGCCCTCGGCCAACCAAAGGCTGTGTGGATGAAGCCGCGGTCGGGTGGAGGATGTGGCTTGCACCGTGTGGCGTGCAGACCGCCGTGGCCCCCTCTCCTCGTGCTTCTCTTCTCCATCCCCCGGCAGCACCCCACTGAGCCCCCGTACCCAAGCCCCAGTCCCAGCAGAGCGGCCCTGGCACAGGCTGGCTCGGTTTCTGAGCACTTGCAGGCTGCCCCTCACCCCCGCTCCCCGTGGAAAGCCTGCCGCCTACCTACGGAACAGGACATGAAATGAAGCCACAAAGGCATCAAAGGCCACACAACTCACCCACGAGGCCCAAACTCAAACCCAGGGCACACTCAGCCCAGCAGTTTGCATTCACCGTGGGGACAGTGGAAAGAACACAGCCCCGAGGCCGGAAGCAAGCACTGGCAACACCCTGTGCACTAGGAAGAACAAGCCTGCTAGACATGTCCACTGTGAAGCACGCCCCTCTCGAGTCTGCTCTGGTCCCCAGCACGGGCCACTCAGAGGGGCTGGACTCTGCTGCCAGCCCACAGCACCTGAGGCTTACCTAACCAGAGATGCTACAGTCGCTCTCTGGCCACAACCCTTTTAGCGGCTCCCCACTGGGTCGGGCCCCTTCCCTCCAGCCACCAGCTCCCTCCGTGCCACGTGTCTCTTGTGCAGCCCGATCGGTGGGGATCCAGAGCTTTCTGCCCACAGCCTGTCCCAGTCCCATGGGAGGGCCCGGGACTGCCGAAGAAAGGGTACAGCCGCCATCAGACCCCGGGGTGCCCCCTCTTGCCGGAGTGCACTCTTCTGCAGGGCACATATTTGGGGGCAATGGAGGGGAGGCACGGATTTGGAAGGTTGCCCGGCGTGCTGAAGCAACCAGCTGCCGCGCAAGCACATCGAAAAATGTGACTATGGCTCCCCCTGTCGGCGAAATGACGAATTGCACTCTGCGTCGGGGCCCCCTGAGCAGGGACCCTGACGAAGACCCCGACTCTGCTGAACTGATCCGCCCACGGTTTAGGCTGGGAGAGTGGTAGTCTGTGAGTGCTGATTCTTTCTAGAAGGCTGGCTCTGGCGCTCCTGCTCAGGTCTCTCAGAGCAGCCAGCATGGTCCTTTCCCACACCACCGAGTCTTAGTATCTGGGTAAAACCACTCCTCCACTAGAGGGCGCACCCTGAATAAACCCAGGGCAGTCCCAGTTCCTGGCGCTGAGGAAGAGGTCCAGTAATATTGAACAAGCAAAACCAGAACAAGCAGGTGCCATGGGGATCGCATGTGAATGGCCGAGACGGTGGGAAGCAGAGCCAGCGCAGCTCTTGCAGGGCACGGGGAGAGGCAGATCAGGTGAAAGCTAAGGTGTGCTCCCCCGATGGGCCCGGGGGTCAGGGCCACTCTGGCAGTGGGGCGCCTGGCTTTTCTCCATGACAAGTGCCCCTCTAAATGCTCTGTGTGGCCATGGAGTAAAGGAAGGTGCGGAGCAGGCAACCCCGGCTAGGCTTGCCCTTCCCACCCGAGCCAGCAGCCCTGGAGGCCGCCCCCTCTGCCGCATTTTCTCGCAGGCTCACGTGCACTCACACCCCTAGGATGGCAGAGCCAGGGGCCGGGCTGCCTCCTACTCCGCGCTCCCAGGGGTAGGAACGGGAGGTGCAGTGGGCAAGGCGGGGTGCCAGGTGACCGCCTCTCCTCCATGCTCGCCCCACCCCCAGCTCACCATTGGCCCGTTATTCTGTCTGTCTTTATTGGCTTGGGGGAACATTGGAGGGGGCCAGAGGACCAGGAAACAAGCAGGACCACCCACAGTTAGCGAAGCACAGAATAGCCGTGCGTGCGGTGCGTGCGGGAACGGCAGCCCCCGGAGCCCACCTGCCTCCCTCTCCGAAGAACCCCCCCCCCCGAGTCTCAACCTCTTTCGCAGAAGCCGGCCCCGGGGGTCGGGGACAGGGACAGAAAGGACCCAAGGGAAGGGAACCTGGGGAGGAAACGGGAGAGAGGCAGGGGACAGCGGGCGGTCAGGAGCGCACCCAGCCTGCCCTGTGTCCCGCCCCTTGCTCAAGCCTTGACTTTCCCAGAAGCTCCCAGGGGTGCAGGGCCCACCCCCGCACACCTGGCCATCACCACTTGGGGGGCTGGCCAGTCAGGAGACCGGGGTGGCTGTGGCAAGCCGGAGTCTGCTGGGAGGCCTGCTCGCCCTCCGGGCTCTGGCCCAGCTTCCGGATGTGGCGCAGGAACGAGGTGGCGTTGAAGGCCCGCTGCGGAAGAGAGGCGTCAGGCTCCGGCTGACCCCGGCCCCAAGACTGCAGGGACCGCAGCGGCCACTAGGCAGCGCCCTGCCCCGGCCTCTCCTCACACTGACCTTCCAGTGGGTTCGCGCAAAATTCTTCTGGATCTGCTCACTCACAGAGCCCAGGATGTCCCTGTCGGAAGCTGCGTCCCCAGAGATCCTGGGGGAGGGCGAGTGTCAGCAGGGGATGCAGTGCCTGGGGCTGTGGTCCCAGCGGCCCTGGGCCAGCTGGGCGGGAGTGGCGCTCACCAAAGATGCTGCAAGGCCTGTTGGCAGGTGAACCGCTTCTGGGGGTCACGCTCCAGAAGGTGCCGGATGAAGTCTTTAGCTGCGGCAGGGGGAGCGGGGTCAGCCTGCCCCAGAGCACGGCCCCCTGGCCCCACAGCGTGCGACCAGCCTCCAGCTCACCGGATTCAGAGATGTCATCCCAAAAGGGCGAGTCAAACTCGTAGCTGGCCCGCAGGATCTGGCTGAAGAGCTCAGGATCGCTCTCGTCGTAGAAGGGGGGGTAGCCACACAGCCTGGCAGCCACACGGCCGTCACCCCACTGGCCAACCCTCCCCAACCCAGCAGAGGCAGGCTGGCAGGCCACTCACAGGATGTAGGAGATGACACCCAGGGCCCACACGTCTACTGCCTTCCCGTAGGGTTTCTGCTCCAAGAGCTCCGGGGCTGGGGGCCAGAGACGGACACACGCTCGTGCGCATGCGTGCTTCTCTGTCGCCGCCACTCAGCCTGGTCCGCCCCCAGCCCCGCCCCTCCTCCACTCACCCACATAGCCTGGGGTCCCGCAGGCGGTGCCCAGCATGTTGCCAGCCTGGATTTTGGAGAGCCCAAAGTCGGAGACCATGATCTTGGAATCCTCAAAGGGTGTGGCATAGAGCAGGTTTTCAGGCTGCAACACGCGGGTCCCAGGGGACCGGTCAATCAGTGCCAGGGAGACAGACGTGCGGCCAGGGGCGCAGGTGGCAGGGCGGGGTGTGGGCAGCAAGCCAGGCACCTTGAGGTCGCGGTGCACGATGCCCAGGCTGTGCAGGTAGGAGACGGCGCCGAGGACCTGAGCCACCAGGTGGCTGGCGTCCTTCTCCGTGTAGGAGCCGCGCTCCATGATGCGGTCAAACAGCTCACCCCCTGTCACCCTGGAGGCAGTCGGGGCTTCAGCTGGCGCAGGGCTCTGGGCCCAGGCTTCTGCTCCAGCCCCCGCAGCCCCCAGCAGCCCTCCTCACAGCTCCATGGCCAGGTAGAGGTGGGAGGGGCTCTCGTGGACGTCCTCCAGGGCCACGATGTTGGGGTGGTTGACCCTGCCAAAGCAAGGAAGGGCTCCTTGTGGCCAGTCCCCCCGGGGCCTCGGCTCCGCGTTCCCCGCCGCAAGTACAGTCCCAGGCCCTTCAATAGACGCTGGCCCAGAGAGCGCCCGCCCCTGGGAGGCTGCTGACTGGGCCTGGACTAGCACGGAAGCAGCAGCCGCCAAGCCAAGCGCTCCTGCCATCCCCATGGGGACCCTGCCGTCGCGGCCCAGGCACGCACCTGCGGAGCACGGCGATCTCATTCTCCACCAGGGCTTCCTTGCCCCGGAGGGCATTCTTGGGGATGCACTTGAGGGCCACGAGGTGTGCAGAGCCCCGCTCCTGGGCCAGCACCACCTCGGAAAAGGCACCCCTGCGGCACAGCCAGATGGTGGGCACAGGGAGCAGGGGAGGAGGTGCAAGTGCAGACGGGGGGAGGGGGCTGGGAGAGCGGCAGGTGGGGAGTGGAAAGGGCTCGCCTCTGTGCCCCAGGCCACCCACCCCAGCACTCGGGCACACGCACACCACTGGCACCTCACACTCACACGCGTGTGGGCACACTCACGAGCCGAGCTTCTCCCGGAGCTCGTAGACACTGCTGATGTCCGCCGTCTGCTTCTTGAGCAGTAGCATGTCTGCAACGGGGAGAGCTGGAGGCGGCCCTGGGTCAGGGCCCGCACCCGCCCGCCCCCAGCACCCCACAGCCCCCTTCAGCCCTCCCCGGCCCAGGTGCATCTAACCCCTCCCCCACCGCCCCAGGGACATAGCTGCCCTCCAGCGCCCCCCCACACTCGGGCCCTCCGACGACGGCGACTAGCGCCCCGACACCCCCTCCTCCGCTGCCCCCACACATCCGAGAAGGCTACATGCACCCCCACCCTCGTCCACAGCCTCCACAGGCAAGCGTCATCCAGGCCACCAACCCGCCGGAGATACACCGCGCACACAGGCACCTGCCACGACCACGGCCACCCACGCGGCCACCCAGGCCTTCAGCGGCTCAGAGTAGGAGAACTCGGCAGCCTGGGCGGCTGGTGTCCGGAGCTACGTGGGCCGCGCGCGTGTGGGAGAGGGGCGCTCCGGGCCTGACAGGTGTGCCCGGGGGCTGCGGCGGCTGCGGGCTGGACCCCGTGCACCCTGCCCCTCCCCATGCGCGCGCGCCCGCGCCCGGGGCGGCAGGTGCGGACCTGGAGTCGATGCCGCAGCGTCGCTCTCGCACAGTGCCGCCGGCCGCGAGACCCCAGCCGGGGCCTTGCGGGCCCGCGCCCTCTCCGCGCGGCCCCGGCGGCCGGAGCGGCCGAGCGCTCAGGAGCAGAGGCTCAGCACTGCCGTGGCGCTGCAGGGCGCCTTGTAAGGCAATCCGCCGGCTCTGCTGTCAGCCTCCCTCCCTCGGTCGTTGAAGCCCGGTCCCCGGAAGCTTCAGCTCCCTTCGAGGCCCGGCTGCGCCAGCCCAGGACCCTTTGCACCGCCAGCGTCTGCCGTCGGCAAGTCTTCACACACATGTTGGCACGGTCTCTGCCTCTCCGTCTGTTTTAATGTTCTCCGGGCCACCAGAGCACTTCCTTTTTTTTTTTTTTTTTCAAGATCGATTTATTTATTTGAAAGTCAGAGTTAACACACAGAGAGGAGAGACACAGAGAGACATTTCATCCGCTGGTTCACTCCCCAATTGGCCACAACGGCCAGAGCTGCGCCGATCCAAAGCCAGGAACCAGGAGCTTCTTCCAGGTCTCCCACGTGGGTGCAGGGCCCAAGGACTTGGGCCATCTTCCACTGCTTTCCCAGGCCATAGCAGAGAGCTGGATCAGAAGTGGAGCAGCCGGGACTTGAACTGGCGCCCATATGGGATGCCGACACTGCAGGTGGCCCGCTTTACCCGCTATGTCACAGCGCCAGCCCCACAGCACTCCATGTCACCCCGAGTCTTGTCACCATTCTCAGTTAAGGCTCTAGGGTCCCCAGCCCTCAGAGTTTGTGCCCCCATCCCAGCTGCTCATTTGTGCCTCAGGAGCAGAGGTGGTCGACCACACCACGCTGCTCCCAGCCAGCCTGAACAGGGCTCCGGTCCACGGTCACGTGGACAAAGAAACACTCTCTCCCTTACACGTACATCTGTGTTTCAGAGAAGGGTGGTGGTGTGAGTCAAAAAAGATGCCACTGTTTGTGCTTTTAACCAGTACTTATGATCCACCAGACAGTGGATGTACTTTTCAAAATCCTTTCGGTGGGAGGCGCTGTGGCGTAGCAGGTAAAGCCACCACCTGCAGTGCCGCCATCCCAATGATTTGCAGCCGTTCCCTCCATAGTCAGCAAGAAGTGGCAACAAGAAAGATGTGCACCGAGAGGCGCTGTCCTGTAGCACGCTGTCCCGTCCGAGCTGTGAAGCATGCAAGCGAGTGGACTCGCACAGCGACGTGACTGGGCACAGAGGGAACCCACTTGTATTCCAAATGCACGAAACCATTTCACTGGGTGGAGCAGGGAGGCGGGGAGACGGCTGATGGAAGGCGCCTTGGAAACAAGAGGTATCGGAGACTGAGCACAGGAAGGCGCCGTCCTCCAGTTGATAAGGTGTGGATTAGGAGTCGCACGGGCTGGTGCTGTGGCATAGCACGTAAAGCCACTGCCTGTGATGCCTGCATCCCATATGGGCGCTGGTTCGTGTGCTGACCCAGCTCCCTGTTCATGGCCTGGGAAAGCAGCGGAAGATGGCCCATGTCCTTGGGCCTCTGCACCCACGTGAGAGATCCGAATGAAGCTCCCGGCTTCAGCCTGTGTTAGGAAGAGTTGCAGATTGGTGCCTCCAACCACGGGGCACCACCAATGTTAGGAAAAGAGGCGCCGAATAGAGGGAGCAGTGTACAAATGTATAACCAGACCAAATTTTTTCAGAGAAAATAAATTCGTAGAGGTGCGTGACCAGCTGCCAGCAAGCACATTGATGGAACACGTGGCGGAAGGCCCCGACCCCCAGGGGCTGGGCCTTTTTAGATTTTAGGAGGGCCGGGGCTGGGGGTGGGGTAGGGGGCAGCAGGTGGAGGGGAATTCCTGGAACTGGTCTGTCAAGTGTTCCAAGCAACTGGTCTTTCAGGTGGCCTTGGGGGTGGGGTATGAAGGCGATAGGGTGTGGGACCCAATTGAGATTCAAGGGCAAAGGATACATTCCAGTGGTTATCTGTGTGAGGAGGAGAATGGCTGAGGCTTCTGTCTGTTCCATCAGCCTGGCCTAGCCCTGGCTGTTGCGGCCATCTAGGGAGTGGGAGTGAAGGAGAGAAGGCTGCAGCGGTATGGGCTCAGGTCGAGCTGAAGGTACGTAATGACGCTAGCATGTATGTATATGCCTGCGCGTACACACACATGTGCGGCCACGGGTTCCTGCGTACGAATCCCCACACTGCCAGCTGAGGGATGCAGAAGCCACAGCGTTCTGGGAGCCCCAAGCACAGCGTCAGTCCTAAGGCCATTCTCCTACAAACTCCCCTGCTGACTGCAGAACGGGGGCAGGCAGGGAGCAGGTGTTCTCCCCCCAGACACACCACAGCACCAACGGCCAAAGGCGGAAAATCCAAGCAAGCTAGAGCAGTGTTGGGTTGTAACTGCAAGTGTTAAATCATTGTCGTCCGGGAGGTGGGGTACACGGCCGCACCGTGAACTGCGGGCTGCACGGAGCAAACTTCCTGCCACCGGGAAGGAGAGCGCCACTTTGCAGCAGAGAAACTCGCCAAAGCCTGTCTGGGCCAGGTGGCCAAGGTCAGCGGCAACAGTGATAAGTCATGTGGCGCGCGTGGACTGCTGATAGGGCGTGATGACGACGGCGCTGTCCCTCCAGGCTTGTCCTCTCCATAACCCAGGAGGCCAGCGCGATCACGAGGGAGGCAGCAGGCCGAAGCAAGCGAGCAGGCCTCCCAGCTGTCAGGGCATCCATGCGGAGAACGGCAGAGGCCGCCGCAGGCCAGGGCAGCCACGACACCACTGACAGCAGAGCTGGAGGCCACCCTTGCCACGGCCTCGCTAGGCTTCTGCACGTGGAGTATCAGTTTGCAGAAAATGTGCAAAAGCAGTCCTTTCAGAGGCTCTGTGGGACCCAAGGTCAAGGAGAGCAGGCCCTAGGAATCCTGGAATGTGTCCCCCGCCCCTCCCGGCCCCGCCCTGGTGACACTCCCATCTCCCCAGCCTAGATAACCCCTGACCTGCAGCCCCTTTGTCCCCAGCTCATTCTAATTGCAAGGCCTATCTCCAGCTGCCTGGCTCCAGCTGGGGGCCCCCTCCCCGGCCTGGGGGTGCACACAGTCCAAGCCCCAGCCTGCATCCCCATGCTTCCCCCTCCTTCTTCCCGTAAACAGGTGCACCGGCTCGGCGCTCCCTCTCCTCGCCCCTACCAGCTGGCACTGGGGTCCAAAAGGCAGTTCCGGGCTGCGTCCAGACGGCAGGGGGCCCACACCCGCTCCTGCACCAGCTGGACAACCCCTTGGGTACGGGCCCCCCGCAGTGCGGCCGGAGCTCGGCGGGGCCGCCTGCCTTCCCGGTGGCGAAGCGCTGGGAGACATAGTAACCGTCCCTATCGGCGCAGACACTCCCAGCAGGCCAGTAGGTCACAGCGCACAGAAGCTGCCCTGGACACCAGGGTCCTCCCCCAGACAAGACCCTGCCCGGGGTTCGTGGGAGCAAAGCTCAGGGCATGCACCGAGGGTGTGACTGTCACGTAAGGGAGCGCTGGGGGCCTCCTAGACCTGGGTGCCTCCAGCTGGCGGGCTCCAAGGGCCTGCCGGCAACCCACGACGCAGGCGGCGGTCCCCCTCTCGGCAGGCAGCCACCTCGCCCTGCCCTTCTGTGGGGCCGCAGTCACTTCCTCCTCCTCCTCAGCCGCCTCTGATGGCACAGAGGCCCCAGCAGCCCCGACTGGCAGCTAGCTCCCTCCAGTTCCTGCCTCCGGCCTTGAAACCCGCCTCCCCACCCAGTAGCCAGCACGGGGTGGAGGAGGGCCCCGCCCTTGGCTCCCAGCCTGCTCGCTTCCCCAAGGTGTCATTGTCTCCCACGTGCTCCTCACGCCACAGCCTTATCTCCCTCCCACCCCGCTCCCCAAAGCAGGATCTTCAATTCTTGTGGCAGCTGCACCCAGTCACGTCCCCACTTCCCGTGGATCCTCCGGGCGCCGTCTGCACGCACTCGGGTCATTGTCAGTTACTGCCCTCCCTTTACAGACATCACCCACCCCCACACTGCTGCCGGGAGGAGGTCCAGCGCCTACTTCACCTGAGCCTCTGGTCTCTCTTCTGAACCGCCATAGTGGGGTGGGGGTGGGGGGCAGTGATTCTGTCCTCTCTCCCTGGGTGGTCCCAGCTTCTCCAGGTCTAGAGCCTCTGCTCCCAGACCCCCTTCAGCCCCAGGCTGGGCCAGGAAGATCCAAGTTAGGGGGCTTTCACAAACAGTGTAGCCCAGCTGCTTCCAGGGTCCCCCCCCAGCCCCACCCCCTGTGAACACAGGTGACACCCCTGTCTCTCTTCCCATGAAACACACACCCCTAGGGGCTCCTCCTGGAAGCTTGGGTGGAGATGCTGCCCCTCCCTCACCTAGCAGGTTCAATCTGGCTCGCGCCGGAACTGCTTTTCTTCCTAAAGCTGGCCGGATGGCTGCGGGCTTAGCTTAACGGGATGAACCATCTGGGGAGTGCCGTGTGTGTAATTAGATCAGGGAGTGTGGGACCGAGGGGGGCACGCTTTACCCGCCCCCCTCCAGCCAGGACCATGACCATGACCCCTTCCAGCCACCTTGCTCTGACGAGGGACGCCTGGAGGGCCGTCCCCGGGGAGAGGAGCGCCAGGAGAGGGGAGCTGGCTTGCAGACCTTCCGAGGAGGGTCTGTGCACCTGCCAGGCACCAGGGGGCAGCCTTACCCTATTCCAGCAAGTCAGCCGCCCCTGCTGGACCCCTTACTAAGCCAAGGGAGCTAAAGAGGCTCCCTTTCTGTACCTGTCTAGCCTCCCTCCTCAGCTAGGCAGGATCCCCTTGACCGTGACCTCCTGCGTTTCAAGGCTGTACCTCTTGGGAAGGGCGGAGTGCCAGGGGGGCGGGAGGGTTGCGCCTGTGCAAAGCCCCACAGCACAGCTGGAGGTAGATACGCGGCAACCTTTGCTCCCCTCACTAGAAACAGACCCAGCCCTGCAAGGAGGCCGGGAAGCCTGCTGCCTTTGGTACCCAGCACCCGCCCAGCCTGGAGATGGGACAGGCTGGACAGATCTGGGTGGCTCCAGCCTGGAGGGAGAGGGGAGAAGAGAAGAGGGAGGGCACAGGATGGCTGGAAGGAGGCCAGGGAAGACGCTTTCTTTAAGCTGGGAAGGGCAGGTCGAGGGAAGGCAGATCTGGAGTCAGCGAGGCCAGGTGAAGCCGGGGCGAGGTCCTGGCCCCTTGGGGAGGAAGTGCTGGCCGGCGCCCCAGGTAGCAGCCATCCTGCTCCCCGCTGGAGCGGCGTCTCCTCCTCGGGAGGAGGGCGGGAGGAGGTGGGCGGAGTGACGGGGAGGGCGGGAGGGAGGGATGGGAGAGGGGGAGGGGGAGCAGCCCGGTCGAGGAGGTGGGGAGACAGAGACGTTACCTCTGATTCTGTTCTTATACCACAATAGATGAAGCAGGATAATTTACAAAAATTCAGATTATTTTGGCTTATCTTTTCAGCCCGATTAAAAATGCGATAGCATTTGCTTACCTTCCCATAGAGGTCATGTGCTGCACTATCACATCAGAAGACTGGAAAGCGTAAAAGGGCTCTTGTAGCACGAGGATATATAATATAGATATTGAGACGAGGTTCTCGGCCCATGTATAGGGTGAGGACTCCGAGAGGTTAATACGCTAGTCACTCCTGGTTGTAAGGAGGCAAAAGGGGAAATGCAGAGACTCTCACAGAGGGTGCTAAAATGCCTGCTTCCTTCAAAGTGTCTATGGCCAGATCCAAGTGCCGAATCCCACTGCCTGTGT